GGGCAATCCAAATGAAGTGGGACCAAAAATGTTTAAGATGATAAAAGCAGAGATAAAGAATGAAGCAGGGAAGTAGAAGAACTAAACAGGGATAAATGCAGGTCAGTCTGTTAAAAGATGTGAGACAGAATATGAGACATCTGAATGTTAAATTGAAGCTGATCTGAGGCTGACAGATATTTAAAATATGAACCCCTGAATCTCACACTATCAGTCATGATGGGTCCATACAAATATTTCAAACTCAATAATACCTACAAAGTATCAGCGATGTTTTGAGCTGTGGTGCTATTGTACTTTTAACAGAGATATTTATTTAAAGCTGAGCTCTAGATATCTAAAATAAATCGAATAATACTAAAATTATCTAAAATAAATCGAATAAAACAAGTAATTATCTATCTTCAGCATCATTACATAAAGCCTCAATGGGAGGTGCCAAAGAAACCAAGGTGAACCAAGAGAGAAAAAGAATAATAATAAAAAAATGGACTGCTCAAAATAATGTTCCAGGTTATATTCAATAAAACGTTCACTTACAGTAAAGAGGCAGAATTCTATAAACGCATTCTATCAAGGACCAGTACTAGTTTCAGTGATAATTAAACTACGTAGATATGTAGGAAAGAAATGAACTCCCTCTGGATCATATTGTATGATCACATGTTCAGATATGATCTGATCACATGATCATGTACTTTAAGTGCCCAAAACGGGCTATCACTCTCTATATAATTAGATCTCCCAGTTGTAGAGAGCAATAAAGTAGTGCTGCAGAGCCTCTGCAATGTTTCTCTATGCATTTCTGCTGCTCTGTGTTTTTAAAGCAAAAGGAGAAAAGGCGAAGTGCCAAATGATTGGGAGCCCAGAGTACCCTGTGCTTTCCAAGGATGGGGATGTCATCATTGGAGGAGCTTTTTCAATTCACAGCAAAATTACATTGCAGGCGCTTTCATTTACTGAGAAACCACAAGGTCTAACCTGCACCAGGTTTGTTTCATCTTTCATTCTACTACCACTGCGATCTAAAGAAAACCTTTTTTTTGCACTGGGAGGGTGAAGACTTGAGTAAGTGGAAAAGCAAACTGTCCATGCCTAAACATGTTTGCAATACTGTATACTGTTAAAGCTGTGAACGAATAACTGTATTAATGTTTTTCTTTGTTCATTTAGCCTGAACTTCAGAGAATTCCGCTTTGTTCAGACCATGATATTTGGTATTGAAGAAATAAACAACAGTAGTCTTCTTCCTAATATTTCAATTGGGTACAAGATATTTGATAGCTGTGGCTCAACATTAGCCTCTATGAGATCAGCCATGGCTTTGATAAATGGCCAGGAGCTTACAGCGCAAGAAACCTGCTCTGGGCACTCAGCAGTGCAAGCAATCATTGGAGAGTCAGAGTCTTCCTCAACTATTGTGATGTCGAGAGCAACAGGGCCATTCAGGATTCCAGTGGTAAAGTACATAGACATCAAACTGTTTTGGTAAAACATGCAACCATAGCATAGCAATAATACTAATTTGATGTGTCACTTACTCCCAACAGATTAGTCATTTTGCGACCTGTGCTTGTCTGAGCAACAGAAAAGAGTATCCCTCCTTTTTCAGAACAATTCCCAGCGATTACTACCAGAGCAGAGCACTGGCTCAGCTGGTAAAGTATTTTGGCTGGACCTGGGTAGGAGCGGTCAGAAGCGATAATGACTATGGCAACAATGGCATGGTCACATTTATGGAAGCAGCAAGAAAAGAGGGAGTATGCATTGAGTATTCTGAAGCCATTCTAAGAACAAATTCCAAGGAGAGCATTGCTAAAGTTGTGCAAGTGATCAGACAAGGCACAGCTAAGGTTTTGGTAGCATTCCTGGCCCAGAGCGAAATGGATGTTTTGTTAGAAGAGGCTCTTTCTCAAAACATGACAGGGCTACAGTGGATAGGCAGTGAGTCCTGGATAACTGCCAGGTACTTGGCAACTGAAAAGACATCAAAAGTTATCAGTAGTGCAATAGGCTTCACAATCAGTAAGTCTAAAATTCCAGGTCTGAAGGACTTCCTTGTAAAAGTCCATCCATCTCAGAGTCCCTCAAGTGCACTTCTGAGGGAGTTCTGGGAAACAACATTTGGATGTCAGTTTTCTCAAAAAGATGACAATGAGAAGCTTTGCACTGGATTTGAGAATCTTAAAGAAATAAACAACACATTCACTGATGTGTCTGAGTTAAGGATTTCTAACAATGTGTACAAAGCAGTTTATGCAATCGCCCATGCCTTGCAAAACACACTGGCTTGCAAAGCTGGATGATCCCTTTGAAAATATAACTTGCACCCAAAAGGATGCATTGCTGTCAAGTCAGGTAAGAAAATGTAAAAAACCTTCAGAAATACTAAGGATATTACAAGCACACAAACAATAAATTATGCTATTTTTTTCCCAATTTTTTTAGGTATTACATTCTTTACAAAGCGTTAACTTTACAATGCCTACAGGTGAGAGTGTGTATTTTAACAGTAATGGAGACCCTACTGCACGCTATGAGCTGGTCAACTGGCAGAAAAATGCAGCAGGAGACATTGCCTTTGTTACAGTGGGTCACTATGATGCTTCTCTCCCAAGTGATGAGCAGTTTGTCATGAAACCTATCAATATAGTCTGGGCTGGAAATAGTGACATGGTAGGTGCACAATAAGTACAGCTTAGAAATAGTTAAGAGATTTGCTGTCATTTTTGAGAGTGTAACTGAGAATGTGTTGCAGAGGCCCAGGTCTGTGTGCAGTGAGAGCTGTCAACCAGGCTTCAGACAGGCACAACTAAAAGGGAGACCATCTTGCTGCTTTGCATGTGTACAGTGCCCTGTGGGTGAAATCAGCAATGAGACTGGTAATTCATGTGTTTTTTTGTTTTTTTTTACTGTAGAAAATAAAACACTACCATTCAAAAGATATGTTTTACAACATAGATTAAAGTATTGGATTACATTTTAAGAGGTTGTATTTAATATTCCATGTTGTTTGTAAATAGCAAGAAGTTGATGAAATAATATAATATAATATAATATAATATAATATAATTATCCCTTTATAATAATTCCTTGATAGGTTATCTGCCTCATGTATGAGGTATTCCTAATGTTAATTTTATTATAACTTCATTCTCAATGTAATGCAGTTTTCTCAGCCATCTGTAGATGTGTTCATCATTCTGGACACATTAAAATTTTTTTAAGCCCCTACAAATTAGCTGAAACCTATTAAGTTAGGTAGAAGCATCATCATATATGTATATTATACATGTCCCTGACACATAATTGACTTTATATTAGTGAAAACAGTGATTTCAAACTTTCGAAATGATACCAAACTCTAGACCTGAAGCATACATAAATATATATAGAAATCTTTGATGTTGGAACAATTCAATATATTGTGCATGAGTGTTCTATCTGTGACTATTCCGTCTCATTTTAGACTCTGTGGAATGCATCAGATGTCCTCTGGAGTACTGGTCAAATGAAAACCACAGCCTCTGTGTTCCAAAGAGAGTGGAATTCCTCTCATTTGATGAAAACATGGGAATCCTTCTGACAGTGTTTGCATTAACAGGAGTTTCATTTACCATAGCTGTAGGACTGGTGTTTTTCTACTTCATAGATACACCACTTGTAAAGGCAAGCAACACTGAGCTGAGCTTCCTCCTGCTCTTCTCACTGACTCTGTGTTTCCTCTGTTCGCTTACTTTCATTGGTCAGCCCTCTAAATGGTCCTGTATGCTGCGCCACACAGCGTTTGGGATCACCTTTGCCCTTTGCATGTCCTGTGTTCTGGCAAGAACAATAGCAGTGGTGATGGCATTCAGAGCCACTGTGCCAGGCCATAGTCTTCCACAGTGCTCTATGCCTGTACAGAGAATGAGTGTTTTCTGTTGCACTCTTTTTCAAGTCATTATTTGTACTTTGTGGTTAGCACTAGCGCCTCCAGTACATCGCAAAAACATGGCACACTCCACTGATAAAATCATTCTAGAATGTGATCTAGGTTCTGCAGTAGGTTTCTGGGCTGTGCAGGGTTATATAGGATTTCTGGCTCTACTGTGTTTTATTTTGGCTTTTCTAGCACGGAAGCTGCCTGATAACTTTAATGAAGCCAAGTTCATCACATTCAGCATGCTCATATTCTGTGCAGTTTGGATCACCTTTATCCCAGCTTATGTCAGCTCTCCTGGAAAGTTCACTGTAGCTGTGGAGATATTTGCCATTTTAGCATCCAGCTTCGGTTTGCTATTCTGTATCTTCATTCCAAAGTGTTATATTATTATACTTAAGCCAGAGCAGAATACTAGGAAATGGCTAATGGGCAAAACACATGCAAAATCACAATGACTTTTTCCAAATCTCTGCTCTGTACACACTCAGACATATGCATATAATGTGAATAAAATTACGGTGCAACTGAACAAATAAATAAAATAACAACATTTTTCAGAATAAAAATGATATATTAAATAAATGTATATCACTTTCACTTTTTCATTTTTAAATATTTAAGTATTATCTGAGGCATCATGACAAATAAACATGTTGTGGTACATGATTAGGCAGATATGTAAGGGGTCTAAATAAATGATGTCCTAGTTACACTATTACCAACTATTCCTGGAAAACAACCCCTATCATTTTAAAATGCACTGCTAAACCAGAAATTTATTGCATTTCTATGTCACAGTCATAACAATTTCCAATTTCCCAAGGGTGCATCAATAATATAAGGTGAAATACTGGATTCAGCCTAGGCCCTGATTGGCTCAAACATCACCCACAGATCATTGCTCCATTTTCTTGTCAATCATCACACTAGCTCTCATCATTGGACAGAAAAGGTAACATGCCACTTAGCATTATGTCAGGCCCCATGTTCTGCTGTCATTAGATGTATATAAAGACAGAGTTCTGCTCAATATAGTGAGAGGATTCTGTAAGGCAAATATTTCCTATAGAGAGTCATGCTGTTGCTGGCAGACATAATGATGATAATCTTTTTTACTGCTAATGCTACAGAACAGCAATGCACAGCATATGGAGCTGATGATCTTCTTCATTTTTCTAAAGACGGTGATGTCTCCATAGGAGGCATTTTTTCATTCCATCAGTATCCACTAGATGTGAATCCAACACTACAAGTCAACCCAGGAAATATTAGGTGTTTTGGGTAAGATGAGAGAGAAATATTTAATGGGATAATTCAACGCTGAAAAGCAGTTGTCTGAAACCGAAATTACAATTATTCTGTATGATTTGAAATGGTTAAAACAATGATGAAATATGTAATGTGACATTATAAAGCTGAAAAGTAATACCAAAAGTACTGGGTACATTAGAAAATGTTGGGCGTTGCACAAAATGTAAAAACATAGCAAAGAGATGGTTGGGTAAGAAAGCATTGACAGACAAAAATGAAACAAAAGAAAAATATATATTTGCTTGTAGGGTTGATCCAGGAGAGCTGCAGTATGCCATGACAATGATGTTTGCTATTGAGGAGATTAACAATAGCACAGATATCCTTCCTGGCTTTACACTGGGCTACAGAATATATGGCTCCTGTCCCAGCATTCCTCTCTCTGTGAAAGCATCACTGGTTCTCATTAATGGCCCAGAAGACAGGATTGATGAATGCATCAAACTCTCCACTGTGCATGCTGTCATTGGAGAGACGACTTCAACAGCCACCATCGGAATTGCAAGGACCATGGGCCCATTTCGCATACCAGTGGTGAGTCAACTGAAAATTTGATTTGTTAAGCCAAATTTAAGCATAATAAAGTGTCTAGTATGCTGTTTATTCCCACATTATTCTTGTATAAGGAGATAATTATAATATGTCTATAACCACATTGTGTCACTGGATCATGTCTGTCTAGAGATACAATTACTTCTAAAGTTTAATTATCCAAGTTGAATAATCAGGCAAAAGCGTATTCTTAGCTGTCTCAGTGTTAGATAAAATTATTTCTCCATAAGCCATGAGGTTCTCCATGAGGTTCTCCATGAGGTTCTAAACACAAATTCTGAAGTTGATATTTCTCATAGTAATAACCCTTTTATTTGATTTGCTTGCATTGTGCCACATGCACATTACCTACGTGATTTAGAAATATTTTTAAGATGAATAGACTTTTTTTTTTAGTTTAAGGAGAAGGCAAAAATGCATTTTAACCGATGAAAAATACAGATTAATCTAATTCAAGACAGTTCAATCTGAGACATATGAGCATTGATCTGACTGTAGTATAATCCCAGTATCAGACTGCATTTTTACTTTCACAGCTCAGTCACTCAGCTACCTGTGCATGTCTTAGCAATAGAAAAGAGTACCCCTCCTTCTTCAGAACAATTCCCAGTGATTACTACCAGAGCAGAGCGCTGGCAAAACTGGTTAAGCACTTTGGCTGGACCTGGGTGGGAGCTGTCAGAAGCAGGAGTGATTATGGCAATGATGGAATGGCCAGTTTTCTGGAAGCTGCTGAAAAAGAAGGAGTATGTGTGGAGTACTCTGTGGCTATTTACAGGACCGACTCCAGAGAGAAATTTCTAGATGTGGTGGATATCATTAAGACATCCACGTCTAGGGTCATTGTGGCTTTTGCAGATGGTAATGACCTGGACATCCTCATTAAAGAGCTTTACTACCAGAATGTGACTGGTTTTCAGTGGGTTGGCAGTGAGGGCTGGATCACATACAGGTATTTAGCCAACACCATAAACTATGCTGTGGTTGGTGGTGCAGTAGGCTTCGCTGTGCCCAATGCTCATATTCCAGGCCTGAAAGAATTTATTGCGAGCAGCCGACCCTCTATGACACCAGGTAATACAGGACTGGTTGAACTGTGGGAGAATGTGTTTGACTGTAATCTGAGACTTCAATCATACAATGGTGCCAAATCTTGCACTGGAGAGGAGTCTCTGGAGACTGCGCACACAAGGTTTACAGATGTCACAGATGCCAGCCTACTGAACAACATCTATAAGGCTGTTTATGCTGTGGCATATGCTGTGGATGGACTGCTGGCCTGTGTGGAAGGAAAGGGGCCATTTCCCAATGGTTCATGTGCAAGGAAAGGAAGAATAGAGCCCTGGCAGGTGGCATGAGTACAGTGTATTTTTATTGTCAGAGCATTTCTTCATTTATGTCACTGCCATTTATTTCAGTAATACATTGTTCAGTTGTTGAGTCTTGTACACTATGTTTTGCAGGTTCTTCATTACCTCTCCCAAGTAAACATTACTATGAAAAATGGAGAGAAAGTTCTGTTTGACGAGCTGGGTGACCCAGTAGCACGCTATGCCCTGGTCAACTGGCAGATGAACAGTGAAGGAACCATAATATTTGAGACCATTGGTCTATATGATGCATCCCAGCAAGATGGCCAAGAGTTTGTAATGAGTGATGATGTTAGTGCAGTCTGGGCAGGAGATCAGCGAACGGTAAGCAAAGAAAACAAGTTTTGGAGCGTAACAATAAATATTGTACTTATTATACAAATATCAAATAAGTCTTTTTCTTATCAAACTATGAACCCAGTTACCCATGTACTTCAGGTTCCTAGGTCAGTATGCAGTGAAAGATGTCTTCCCCGGAACCAGCAGGGCTTTCACAGAGGGGAAGCCAATCTGCTGCTTTGACTGCATTCCTTGTGCAGACGGAGAGTTCAGCAACACCACAAGTGAGAAGACCAGGCTCCTCTCTTTTGCATTAACACTGATGGTGTTTTTAAGTGGCCGACTAAAAGCTCAAATGATTTCACACCATGTTAAAATGTCCTCATTTCCCCTTTTTAATATGTCTATGGTTTCAGATGCAGTGACATGCCTTCCATGCCCTCTCGAGTACAAGTCAAATGGGAACAAGACTCGATGTGACCTAAAAAATATTGAATTCCTGAATTTTAATGAAATCATGGGAATTCTACTGATGACGTTTTCTTTTTTTGGTGGATTTCTCACAATCACAATTGGGTTGATTTTCTTCCACTATAGACAGACTCCCATTGTTAGGGCCAACAACTCAGAGCTGAGCTTCCTGCTGCTCTTCTCACTGACTCTGTGTTTCCTCTGCTCACTTACTTTCATTGGTCGGCCCTCTGAGTGGTCCTGCATGCTGCGTCACACAACGTTTGGGATCACCTTCGTCCTCTGCATCTCCTGTGTTCTGGGGAAAACAATAGTGGTGTTAATGGCCTTCAGAGCTACACTTCCAGGCAGTAATGCCATGAAATGGTTTGGGCCTCCACAGCAGAGACTCAGTGTCCTTTTTTTCACTCTCATACAGGTCCTTATTTGTGTTCTTTGGTTGTCAATATCCCCTCCTTTTCCTCATAAAAACATGAACCATTACAAAGACAGAATTATTCTAGAATGTCATGTGGGATCAGTTGTAGGTTTCTGGGCTGTGCTGGGTTATATAGGATTTCTGGCTCTTTTGTGTTTCATTTTGGCTTTTCTAGCACGGAAGCTGCCTGATAACTTCAACGAAGCCAAGTTCATCACATTCAGCATGCTCATATTCTGTGCAGTGTGGATCACCTTTATCCCAGCTTATGTCAGCTCTCCTGGAAAGTTTATTGTAGCTGTGGAAATATTTGCCATTTTGGCCTCAAGTTCTGGATTACTTTTTTGCATATTTATTCCCAAGTGCTACGTCATTTTACTAAGACCAGATAAGAACACTAAAAAACATATGATGGATAAAAATCCTTTAAAATCCATCTGATCAGGATAGCAAATGTCTGACAAAATTGACAGACAAACAAGCTAAATGGTCTACAAAAATAAATATGTAATATATAAAAAACATACAGTACATATGCAATAAAAATGTAAAAGATTATGAATACTTGCTATTTCTGTACTGTACTTGATACTGATTATACTAAGGTGTCTATGTGTAGACTATCTAATAAAATGAAAAGATTTACCATGTGTTATAAGTGTCTTCTTGGTAAAAAGGGAAAGTAAATTAATAACAGTGAATCATGAATTTTCCTTAAAACACTTTTCAAATGTTAATGAGAAACCAAAACATCGATGACGGTGAATTGCTAACCAATATGTGATGGATGTATGTGTGAGGGTAATCGTGTTGCCTAATCGTGCAATTTATGTGTGTTAGACTTCACATTAAGGCTTCCTAAGAGCATATGAGAAACTTCTTTGTCTTAGTATCTGTACATCAAGTTAGGAACTTGTTTGTCTACTTTTTATCCCTACTAACTGGATGTCAATACTGACTGAGCACTCTGAAGCTCCATGCCCATTTTATTCCAATCTGAGTGAGGGTAGTTTAGAATAAAGTAATATATCACAAAGACCTTTAGGTGGCTCCATATGCAGTATAGTACAACAATACTCTAACAATACCGTAATGAGTTGTGAGAAAAGGATATAAGTGCAGAATATTTGGTCCCACTTTATATTAAGTGTCTCTAATAACTGTGTAGTTACTTGTGAATAACATATGCAACAACATTGTAACTACTGATGATTTAGTCACTGTTACAGAGGGATTGCAGAACTACAGCCTATGTAATTACACATGTGTATCAATTTCAGTTTTGCCTTGTGTAATTACACAAGTGTATCTTGATAGTTGTAACAGCTTTTTCTCTCTCATGTAATTACACAAGGGTAATAACATACTGGAAAAGCAGGTGTCCCCTTATCTTAAAACGTAACTTTTGTGACATTACTTAAATGTGTTACATTACACAGTAATTTATTTTTAAAGCATAATTTTAACACTACGCTACAGGAAAGATGCTGTGTAGAACATACACTTGTTTAATTACATGAGGCAAAATAAGTTGATACACATGTGTAATTGCATAGGCTGTAGTTCTGTAATCCATCTGTAACACTGACTAAATCATCAGTAGTTACATTGTTGTAGCATATGTTATTCATGTGTAACTACACAGTTATTAGAGACACTTAATATAAAGTGGGACCGAATATTTTAGTGTGCAAAACACAATCCACAGTCAGAAAAGTAAGCACTGTTCAATTTTAAACACAGGGACTTACATGTTAGAAATGAACAAAATTATTAACCACTGGGGGTAAAACACAGGTGTAAAACAAGTTAAATGAATGGCCCTGTGGACAAGGAGCTGTCAGTGATGCTGATGAATGCCTAGTCTAGTATGGTTTAAACAATACAGCTGTGTCCCAATTCAAGGTCTGCGTCCTTCTGAGGCTGCATTTGAAGGCTGTCTGCCTCACAGTGGTGCAACTAGACTGTCCCATTTCAAAGTCTCCTTCATATGTGTCCTTCTTTTCCATGGCAAACAAAGGATCCAATGGATGGATCCTTCACCAGCCAACATATCCCGAGGTTCATTGTGTGCTGGCGAGAATTCGAGAACATGGTGGCATCAGCAGAGGAGTGAAAGGCGGCTGACTAGTACTCTTACATACAAGTATTTGGTTTAAACTGAGGCAGTAGCTAACGACACGTTTAAAAATCTCATCAGTAGCCGGCGGTGAAGCATCTCCAGCCCTAAAAAACAAAAAAAAAAATAATAATAAAACAAATATCAAAGTTTCTGGCTCTATGTTTAAATAACTTAAAAAGAACTTGACAGGAGTGACATTTCATTATGTAACGGTAAGGGCAGGAATAGCGGTGCTGTGACGCAAACAGAAAATCAGCTGTGGAGCAGAGCGTCTCATTTCGGTTCAGCCTTTTGCGGGTCTAAGCAGCCTCTGAAGAACACATCTTCATAGACTGCATCCTTTGCAGGATGCAGCCCCTGAATTGCGACACACTCAATGTATACACCAGCCATCCATATGCAAGTGCAAGGGCAGGTCCAGAGGGAAGGTGTCATCCAGTGGACCTGGGATCACTAGCGGGTGCAGAGACACATGGAAACCAAGTGAGATGTGGTAGTTTCTGGAGGGCAGCAAACGAAAGGTCACCTGATCAATCTACCTGAGAATCCTGAAGAGTTTCACAAATTGCACTCTAAACACAAAAGATCTGTTAAAATCTCAAGCTTGAAGCCATACCTGCCAGGTCAAAGTTTGTATTCTGGGGATTCAATGGGGGACTGGGGACTAGCGCTGGATGAATTGCGCCATTTGCTTTAAGGTAACCCTTGAAAGGCTGACTTCTGGGCTTTCACTGTTGTTTACTTTGGTGGAAACTCATCCATCTCAGATGCCTCTATGAGACCATGATTCCTTGAAAAAAAAGTGAAGGTTTGTAAGGCAGCACATTAGTGAGACTTACAGTTAGTCTCAGCCAGTCCACAAAAGCCCTCCCGCTTATGACATGAGGCCTTAGTTTGTGCTCACAAGAAGCAGGACCTTATGGCTATGAGCGCATATGTCCACCACAAGGATATCAAAATTTCTTTCAAAGCAAATGGAACAATCTAGTGCAGCTAATGAGGTTTTTTGTGATCAGTGATTTATCCTTGCATGTTTGGCACATGTAAGTTCGATCTGAGATGAGCACGACTGTAGTACAGGGCTTTCCCAAAGTTTTTTGAATTTTTAATTTCCAAATATAGCTCCTCTTGCATGACTATGCAGAGCAAATATATTTGGGAAAATTCTGATGATGTTTTGGATCCTGATGTTCCTATGTTCTGTAGTGTAAATGGTTCAGAAAGGCTTTTCAGCTAGTGTTGCCTGTTGTGATCTGCTTGTGATAACTTGAAACGAAATGGACAGCAAGAAATAAATGCTTGATATTGAGAGAACACTGCCCGTACCCCAAAATCATTGGCATCCAACTCCATGATCTGGATGTTTCAGTACAGGCCTTGCAAATTTTTCTTTCCCTCAGAAAGCAAAAGGTGGCTGCTGCCTCTTGAGTCCACTGCAGCCATCTAGCACTCTTCTTCAGGAGAGCAGTCAAAAAGGTAGCAAGGATGTCGACACTTCTTATGAACCGGCTTTATTTCAAATGTTAGAACGAGGGTTTCAAACACAGTTCCTTGTGGACCACAGTATGAATTCAACTCAAGAAGGCCTTACTAATAGATTATTAAAGCAGGAGTGTTTAATGGGAAAGAATGCTAAACTCTGCAGAGCCACTTCTGGGGGCCAGGAACAGTCCGACTTGAACTCATGCATTTCAGTGCCCTTGTTTCTTACCAGTGCAGAGGAGAAGGCTGCAGCGAATATTCACTCAGAGGTTCTTCCAAATCCAGTTGAGGTGGCAGAGGTCAGCAGCCACAGTGAATATTTGCAGGTTTTTCTCCAATAAGTTCTTCACCATGATTTTTTGTTTTGACTGATAGCACCTCACTCTCTGAAAGTTTTCTTTTGCGCTCTGATTGGCTCCTGCTCATTCGGTCTTCTGCTACTTAGATGTAGAACAGCTTATTGTACAAGATTAATCACCAAATTTCAAACATGTGTGGAAATATGTGGATAAGTGCGATGCCTCGCTGACCATGTAACTGAACCATTCACACTACATGGCTGGTTTGTTGTTGAGCTGGTGGTGCTGGTCACAGATCTCAAAAGTTTGTCTTTGACTAGAAAATCAGGACTAGTGTGCATAGTGCATAGTGTGCACTTGGCTTATAGATGTATATAAACAGTGAAATTATTGTTTAATAGAATACATTTTTAAGTCTTGATAAAGATGATGCTCTCACACCTCTTGACATGTTGTACAAAATCTTGTAAATATCATTATATCATCTACATATAACAGCACAAAATGACCAGCATGTCTCTTAGCATTTGATTCACAAAAGATGGAAAGACAGAGGTGGTATTAGCACGTCCTTGTGGCATCACCAAGTATTCATAGTGGTCTGAAAGAGTACAAAAAATGGTTCTCACTGTTTTCCACCTATTGATAAGTCACTAAATTGTAGACACAAGGGACGTAAATCCAAGGTGGTGAAAAATGTATTTCCCTAGTTCAAAGATTCAGGCATAAGAAGAGGATCTAAACTTTCAAAATATGTAAAGTTAATGGTTAGACACCTTTGAATATATGTAAATAAACCATTGTGGTTTTCAAGATAGATGACAGAGAAATCATTAAAACATAGCATGAAATCACAAAAGTCTAGCACTCTGTCAAGATTTTTTGTTGTGCCTAACATGCCAAAAGATGGTGCAGAAGGCGACCATTTTAGGGCTAGTGCTGCACACATTGTAAGGTCACACCTCCTTTGACTGTGACCCAGCAGTGTAACATTACCGCAGAGGATTTGCTTTTCCATCTGTATAAATACCACGCATCCTTCCTATTCAACCTCCTGAAACATCAGACCTTGCACACACTCAATCATTCTCTCTACTCAATAACTGAATAGGTGGATGGAGTCCATCTTTACTCTCTTGCATGTGGTAATGGCCATTATTAATTTTTCTAGAACAAATGGGACTGTATGTAGTCTGCAAGGAGAGCCTGTAAACCCACAACTTTCAAAGGATGGTGATATTTTAATTGGAGGGATTTTTCCCTTCCATAGCAGTTGGGACATTACAGATGTGTCCTATATTCTTAAGCCATCACCACTGAATTGCATGAGGTAAGCATTACGACAAAGTGAGATTTTCAGATTTTGAATGAATGTTATTTTAAATAGGGTTACATTACAACACAGTAATAAAGCTTCTAGATGTCATCCTTAAAATGTGTACATCTGTTTCTCTGTGTAAATCTCTTTCTTTCTAATCCAGTCTTGATTTCAGAGCTTTCCAGTTTTCACAGTCTTTGATTTTTGCAATAGAAGAGAT